GGACGCATTGTTCAAGGATGAACAAGATGGGATGGTGACGAAGATGGGGTCGCCATTTCGAAACCAGCAGTTGTCGTGTTCTTCCTCCGTGTTGTTGCACGTCAGAGTGAGGGTCTCCCCGTCTGTGGCTACCGAGGGGACGCTGGTCAGCTCTATAGAACCTGGTCATATATACACATAAGTATTACCTGCTGTAGCCTATGTCTATACTGACCGACTGACTGAGTTTGGTTTTACGCCGCTTTTAGCAATATTCTAGCAGCATCACGGCGGGGGACACCAGAAATGGGCTTCACACATTGTACCCATATGGGGATTCGAACCCGGGTCTTCGGCGTGACGAGCCAACGCCTTAACCATTAGGCTACCCCATCGCCCCCCTATGTCTATAACGTGAGTAAGTTTAGTTTTACGCCGCTTTTAGCAATATTAGAGCAATATCACACCGGGGGACACCAGAAATGGGCTTCACACATTGTACTCATGTGGTGAATCGAACCCGAACGAACGCATTAACCTCTGGGCTACCTCACCGCCCCTATATTGAAAATGTGACATGAACGAACATGCAACAGAGGAGCAGCTGGATTCAGCGTACTGTTGTTTTACTTCCTCCATGGTATGGTCGAAATGCGTATAGCAACGGATATAACGAACTAAAATTAGTGGTCTCTTTGAGTTCACTTTAGCCGTTGTTTACTGCATATAATTCTCTATAATAGGAGAATTAATCACTCCATGCACAGTTTGTGTTTGACTACACGGAAATGTAATATATGATAGGACAAAAATTATATATAAAACATCGGTTGAAATATCAAATGTCCGGGTAAACCTAACAGCCAAATAGTTGTCTTTCAACGGTTACTCAGGTTATCTCCCAATTGACAGACACCCATTTGACAGACAGTCAATTGACAGACACTGAACTAGAAGGTTATAATAGGAGAATTAATCACTCCATGCACAGTTTGTGTTTGACTACACGGAAATGTAATATATGATAGGAGAAAAATTATATATAAAACATCGGTTGAAATATCAAATGTCCGGGTAAACCTAACAGCCAAATAGTTGTCTTTCAACGGTTACTCAGGTTATCTCCCAATTGACAGACACCCATTTGACAGACAGTCAATTGACAGACACTGAACTAGAAGGTTAATTAGGGTAACACCTACGGGTATAATGGAACAGTCCACTGTCCAGTGAGTAAAGTACGGTGAGCCTGAAACAGGTTCGTTACTGAGACGTTTGATTGTGTGTAAATAGAACTTTGTTCTGATTAAATGATAATCTATTTCTCTTCTCAAAACTATTTTTACTATCAATTATTATCGAATATAAAAACAGGTTTATCACTGAGAGGTTTGATGGTGTTTATTGATTGAAACATTTTATGCATTCAAGAAAAGGATTAGGCACAACGGATCCAACTTAGAAAAGCCCTCTCCCAGTAATAGGATATGTACAACACAATACTTTCTAAAGATTCTAACAGTTTACTTTGATTTGTATACAATGGACATTCAAAGAAGTAATGAAAAACATTCTCACATCCATGGCCACTTTGACATGATGCGTCATTTCTTATATTTATTCTAAATAAAACATAATTAAGTGTACTGGCCCCGATTTCTCGAAACAAACTTAAGTTTTTACTCAAATTTCAAACTGAGTTTGACAATTTGAAACAGCTGAATTTTTAACTCAACTGCATTTTGTAAATAAAAAAGCCCAAACAACTGAAGTAATCTAATTACCAAACTCAAATAGTCTACTATGTTTGAGTTTAATATTGATTTCAGTTTATTCTGGGAAATGCATTTTTCTGTGTTTTCTCAAATTTAAGTAAAAACTCTAAATTAAGTCAAAACTCAGACTTAAGTTTGTTTCGAGAAATTGGGGCCTGGTCATATATATCTTAATCTTGTGTGCAAAACATTTAACTTCCTTATTCCATATGAAAAATATTTACGTGCACACTTTTCTTTCACGTGGATATAAGATTTCGATAATGAAATTCCTCATAGCTAAGGGAATATTATTCCATATTTCAACTGCTGATGGAATAAAAGATGACGTTGAGTACCTCAGTCTTGTACATGGTTGGCTAAAATTACTGGAGTTTCTCTTTTTTTTTTGCATCATTCAAAATTCAAATTAATGTATTAAAGTAAATAATATAGTTTCAGTTATCTTCTTGTGTTTTTATTTGGACTATTCAATTATAATGTGTAGGTAACGGGTAGTAGCTAATCTGTTCACTGAACCGTAAATGTTGTTGTTTTAAGACGTCTGCGAACTGCCTGTCTGCGTAATACTTTTGATTGGTTTGTTGTTTAACGCCGCACTCAGCAATATTCCAGCTATATCTCGGTGTTACTTGTGAATCATTCATGCCTAGTGACTACGAATCAGGATTATAGATTCTCATATATCACGATGATTTATAGAAGACAGGATTGCATATAAAAACACAGAGTTAGCATAGATACATACATACACATATTTAACGTACATACAGACGTACAGTGACAAACATGTTTAACGTACATAAAGAAGCACACACATTTAACATACACACAGACACAAAAACACACATGACATACACACGCAGAGTTGACATAGGCACACACATTTAACATACACACAGACACAAAAACACAGATGACATACACACACAGACCAACACACGTAAAACTACTGAGACAAATACACGGAAATGACATACACAAACATTTGGCATGCTACATACAGAAATGCGCACAGATTTGGTATATTTTACAGAGACATACATACACACAGATTTGACATGCCCTGCAGTGCAAAATATACATTTGACGTACATACAGACAAACATACAGACAGATTTGACATACAGAGGGAAGCAAACGTTTGAAGTACATATATATAGACATACACAGCGATTGGACATAATGCAGTGCCACACGGTCATTTGACGTACATATAGACATACATACACACAGATTGGACATAATGTGCCAAACGCACATTTGACGTACATGCAGACATACATACACACAGATTTGGCATACAGAGGCAAGCAAACGTTTGACGTACATCTGGACATGCATATACACAGACTGAAATTAATGTTGTGCCAAACGCACACTTGACGTACATACAGACAAACATACAGACATATTTGACATAATGCAGTGCCAAACGCACACGTGACGTACATACAGACATATACACACAGATTTGACATACAGAGGCAAGCAAACGTTTGACGTACATATACACACATATACATATGACATTGAAGAAACAATAGCATAAAAGCTCGGGTTACCCTTGAAGCCAACCAGTTCAAAGCTCACACAGCAAATTAGAAAAGTTTTCAAATTACTTACAAAACCCTAGTAGGTGAAAATCCAAGACTAAGAGAAGAAAAGAGCTCAATGTAGACTGAATGCATTCATTGTTCACCTGGAAATGTGTTTCATCACCGTGAAACCAGTACACATTGAAATCTGGAAGACCAAGATAGATACGTAGTTATGTTGTTTGAAAGAGATAAACACACCACACCAGGTTGTATGGCTATGTTCAGATGTTGATGAAACATGTTATTGATGACACGGCGAAGGGAGACAAATAATTTCTTTATCAAAAGCAATATTTTTTTAAAACGTTTACAAGGTCACTAATTATCATGTGTTTATTAAGGGGCGGTAGGGTAGTCTATTATTTAAAGCGTTCGCTCGTCACACCGAAGGCTCAGGTTCGATACCCAACATGGGTACAATGTGTGAAGCCCATTCTTGGTGTCCCCCGCCGTAATATTGTTGGAATATTGCTAAAAGCGGCGTAAAACCATACCCCTAACTCATTCACTGTGTTTATTTATCATTGTCTGTGATGACACCGAAAATGAATGTACTCGTATACTGCCACACCAGTGGTACAAGTGATACACAAACACGATGAAAACGATAAAGGTGTTTTGTAGCTCACCTTTCTTTCCAGCAAAATCTTGGGTGAATTGACCTCGAAGTCCAGTCAAGAAGTGATTCAGCAACGCAGTGTTCAGCGTTAACTGTCAGACGGTACAGTTGTACCGACGTAGGCTCATGTATATATGGTTTTGGGTCCCAGACACTACATGTTTTCGTCGAACTATGTCCATTACGAACTACAATTAGTGGTCCTTTGGTGTTCATCATAACCGTTTAGCACTGTACGTCAATGCTAACGGTTAATCAATGCCACTGAATTTTGATTATGCCAGTTATTTAGTAAATAGTGACGTTTAGCATTGTCACGCCGTGGTGCTAGTTTTATGTCTGACCTAGGGAACTAAATATATCTTACAAAGAGTTTCTTGGAATCTGTTAGACATTACCGTGGAATGAGGATGTAGAGCCCAAGCGTTCTGCATTTGATATTAATCTAGACGGCGTAAAGCAAACTATGGCCAAATAATGTGAATGTGTAAACGTACTTCTCAATAGAATGTTAAACAAGATTCAAGATTAATGTTTGCACAGTGCTCGCGGCCTTTACATAACACCGAACAACCGTCTAAGTGATAATACGATGTGTTCCGCCTTCCTTCTGCAAATATTATTTCCATTCATTAAGCATGTAAAAGTTAAAGTAACGTCAAGGCACTGGAGTTCACCTTCGTACGGATGACACATCGCAAGGTGTATATGTTTGATAAGGACTTCTCAATCAGAATCCGTCAACAGGTGACACAATTTTATGTAGCTTTCATAGAAATGAGGACAAAACACCACAGAGTATGTTTACATAGACAAGCGTAGGCGCATGGCAAATATGATCAGGCAAATTTGTTGTATAACAAGCTTCTCTGAAGATGAAGCAAAATGTTATTATTGCGGCTGATGTAGATCGGGGGGACGAGCGCACTGAGGATGCCTTCGGGAAGCGTGTGGATTGGTCCCATTAAATGAAATGCGTCCCATTAAATGAAATGAGTTCCGGATTTGTTTGAAACATGGCGTCAAGCAAGGAGCCTGTGTAGACCCGCGTCGTTCACTAAATAACCATCATGTCCATCACAACAATAATAATTGTATGGAGTGTACTGGTGATTCACACAAGAGGTAAGTGCATAAATGGTTGATTTTAGTCCTTGGAGACCGTTTGCTATTCAAAGGGGCGATGACTCTTTTCTGAAATACTGAGAATGTTTATTGTGTATTGAAGGACAATTAATACTTTATGCATGTCATGGATAATTGTAGCATGCACAACATTCATTTCGAATAAAACTACAGTGTTTTGAAGCAGTAAGCAAACTAATGTTAAGTCACAAGAAATTAGTTAACCGACCCCTCTCCACAACTGAGAATGTAAGTCAGATCATAGTAAAATATTTGTTTCGGTAAATTTCTTAATTTGTAGATTTTTGTTACAGGGAAAAAAAGCAGACATGTCATTTCAAGTAGAACAAGTCACATGCTCGTAATAAAAGTCCCATATCCTCACAATTAAGAAGACTATAAATACCTGTTTTATATCCTTTTCAAGCTGATAGACCGTTTTTGACTATTGACCCTTCAAGGATTGAGGAACATTCGACAGTGACATTGATCTGCACGACTACAGAAAAATATATCTGGTATATCAACTGGAAGAGGAACGCCAAGGATATCTTTGGCATGGGCCCAGATACAGGTTTGGCCAAAACAAATGATGACTTTGAGAACTTGAAGGATCGAATCGTGTACAGCATAAACCCGGGGAAACAGTACAACGTGACCTTGGCTTCTGTGACGGAAGCGGATCATGGGTCATCGTGGACGTGTCGGGTCAGAGGGGAAGACAGCAACTCGATAATCTTTGTGGTTGGAGATCTGCCTTTGGGTAATGTATTAACACTGTCTACCTAAGTTTCTTGTGCCAGATGCAAGTGGGTGGAAGCATGGGTGCCCCAATTGACTGTGCGGTGGTGCAATAATTTGGAGTGCTAAATCGGGTCTGATGAGACAATCCTTGAGTGAGTGAGTTAGGTTTAACGCCGTTTTTAGCAATATTCAAGCAATATCACGGCGGGGGACACCGGAAATGGGCTTCACACATTGTATCCATGTGGGGAATCGAACCCGGGTCTTCGGCGTTACGAACCATGAGGCTCACCCCGCCGAAACACATCAAGAGTGGTAGGGCAGTCTGCATTAGTGTCATGAGACCTGAATCGCGAATTGCGTAGATTTGGTTAGGATAATTTGGGTTTTGCAGTTGACCGTTTCCATGCCATTGTAACGTCATTGATTACTATGACGTCATATTCAAATGGCTTGCTATTCATTCTGGCACTAAAACTGACCAGCTGTAAATGGTACCCTTGTGACACAGGGTATTACTGTTCAGAAACAAACATAAGTTGGACAAATGATATTGTATGGAATCCGAGAAGGGACGTAGTCGCGTTGTCGCATTGTCGCGTTGTCGCCCTCTCAAAAAACAAGCAAAATTAACCAAAGCGCGACAATGCGACAATGCGACAACGCGACATTTCGCCCATTTGGCGCATTGTCGCGATGTCGCATGTCGCGATTTCAATAATATTGTTTCTATTCCTCCAAAGGGCCACACGCGACATAGCGACAATTTTCAACGTCAAAATATGTCGCGTTGTCGCATTGTCGCCCTATCTAAGATGTGTAAAAGAAAGCCTAAAAATTGACTAAAACGCGACACGCGACAATGCGACATATGAATATGTTATACTCTATTTCACACTTCAGTGGTCTTTTGTTACCTCCAATGGTTTTTAAAGTGAAGTAGTACTCGTAATGGTAATGGGGGCTGCTTTTCTTGAACTTAATGGAAATCTTTCATTGTTGCTTTGAAAATTATTTTATATATTGTAAATGTATTTAGCCAATCAAGTGTGTTCTAGCAGCAACATATTAGCGCTACTATTCATTGTTATGACGGCACACGGTGGCCCTGTCATACAAGGCGGGGCAATTTGTTGTGCAGAGTTGTATCTCTTAGTCACACCAGAAAACTATGATCATAGGTTCGAATCCCAGCATCATACACATTCATCACTTTGGAACCCGGGTTAGAATGTGCCTTCTGTAACCCATGCTTGTCGTAAGAGACCACTAACGGAATCGGGGTGGTCAGGCTCGCTGACTTGGTTGACACAAGTCATCGGTTCCCAATTGTGCAGATCGATGCTCATGCTGTTGATCACTGGATTGTCTGGTCCAGACTCGATTATTTACACACCGCCGCCATATAGCTGGAATAAAACAACTCAGTCCCTCACTCACTCTGGACATTTCACCCATATCAAGCTGACAGGTTGTGAAAAAACTGAAATATTGTTAAAATTCAAGCCACATCGGCAGAAACGTCAGGTGATGTCCTCGAATGGGTGACTATGTTCGACAGTTTGGCTCCTGACAGAGTTTCTTGGTATAGTCCTGTCCGACGCTGTTGAATTTGTCCGTCATCTGCCTTTGTTCAGCCAGCAGTGGATGGATACCAGGCAGAATGAAATGGTAATATCACTTAACCATCCAGCACCTCAAAGACAGTTTAGGTCGGCTTTGAACGTGATATTCTTCTTGGGAAAACGCCATACAAATGGACTGTTATCATTATGATATTAAAAAAGGTGAATTCGCTTGGCAGAGTTGCGTACCCTTGGTGTGCCAGACACCAACCCTCACTCCCTCACTCACTCACTCACTCCTCTCCTCTCCGCTCCACTCCGCTCCCCTCCTGTCTACTCCACTCCACTTAGGGTTTAGGGAGCTTGGTAAATTGGAAAGGTATTTCATTACAATAATGTGTTGTGATGTCTGTTGTTCAATTCTATTTAAATCCTATATAATTAATCCTGGACATGCCATGATTTCCAAGATATCGATAATTTTCTCAGAGGGTATTATACCCAACGATAGACATGTACTTGTATCGTTTCAAACATACACCTACTCATTCACAATAATGTTCAGCGAAATGGCCAGTTGAATACATCCATTCCATTTACCAAGGACTCTTAACCCACAGACTTCACGGCCACATGAACATTCATTTATTATTGCTCTGAGTTCGATCCCTGGGCATCTCAGCCCTTTAAAAACATCGCATAATATTCATGCTTGTGATAGTTTTTGAAATCCGCCGTAACTAATAAAACGCGACACGCGACAATGCGACAATGCGACATTTTGATGAAATGTCGCGTTGTCGAGTGTCGCGCTTTGTTAAAACATTGAGTATATCATGTATTATAACGTATTGACTAAAACGCGACAATGCGACAACGCGACATTTTGATGAAATGTCGCGTTGTCGTCGCGTAATATAACGTATTTGTTAAAATATTGAGCATTGTATGCATTTATAATGCATTATAACCAGGAGTTCGAATCACAGTTTGGACAATAATTTTTGATAATAGGAATCTAGACTTATGCAATCGTATATTGTTTTTATGCTATGATTAACGTATATTTCAAATTTGAACGAGATCGGTGAAGAAATGAATTGTTAAGAAAATTCTACCGCAACACTTAAAATACACAAAGGTGACACTCGCGATGCTCAAAACCTGATCGAAAACCGGACAGCCCGAATATTTTAACGCGCGGTTTAATCAAAACTTACGTTTTTCACAAAACATTGTGTTGAGCTTGTAGGTTATTATTTTACCTTTCTGCTCATCGTATTGAATTTGTCTACCTGCTTTTAATATTTGAACACTGACCCTCGTGTTAGCACTACCCTCTGCTTTGAACAAACGTCTGGCCTCTCTTCGGTAAACATCGACAGTTTCCGTACATCTTTCAGTGTACGAAAACGTTATTAATGCAGTTTCAAGACACGAAAATCGTTACATGGGCATAATGTAAACTATAACAAAGACCCAATTTTCAACACCGACATGTGCGTTGATATTTCGTGTCAGCTCGCTATTGTGTCGAAATCGTACACATAAAACATGGATCTGAACGACCATATTGATTGAATATAGTTAGCATCTTTATTTTAGCATATGTGATGACGTATAATTCGATAATTTGGTCCCATTTTCTCCTGTTGTATGCTGGAAATAAACTGAACACCCAGTAATAGTAACTAGAAAATTGTTGTTTACCACTAATAAATAGATCTAATACATGTGTAACACATAACTGATTCATTCAACCATTGTGTAGTTTTGACAATGTATGTGGTTTTCAAAAAGGAATAATAACAAAGAAGAATATATTTATTATGTTTACTCATTTTGCATATATCATTTCAAAATAGCATCCATATCTATTCTTCCATTTTGCATGGGGTTGATCATGGTGATGCAATAGGCATAATGATCTTAAGTGATCATGGTATTACAACATCTGCGTGATGCCTGTTATCTACTGGATATGGAAAATCACATGACTATGATAAAAATAAAACTGAATGTACCCCATTACCCATCCCACTCCAACTCCAGATACAGATACAGCTTTTTGTATGTAATAGGATGACGGACACATTATGGAATATAAATAGAAGGAATCAGATAAACTGTTGATAGAACAACACCATGATAGTTGTAGGTTGTTAAATAATCATGGTTTAAGAAGGAGAATACATATCTTCACATTTCCCACATCTTGTGTAAACCACACACATTCAAATCCAAGTCTAAACAGAATATTTGTAAAATGAGTAGCCCATGTGGTACAGCCAGAGTCAATCATTTGGTAGCATTGGCAGCCTGCGTTCATCCAAATACAGTAGCCTGCACCAATACTTAATAGCCCGTGTGGTGTTGACAAGTTTCGAGAGGGGCTGTGCCACATTCTCCCCAAACCATACCATTGTTTAGAGAAACCATTTACACATTTTATTCTGAACATCTTTAATAATTCAATAATAATGAGGTGCCATATACTTCTGCACCATAAAATACTATAGGAACAATCATAGCATAAAATATCTTAAATAAATCTGGACATGGTATATTTCCAACTTTCTTTTAATATCTGTACAATGTCATAATAGCCTCTTCACTCTGTGCACCAAGAGTAGTTAGTGCTTTCAAATAAGTCTAAGTGTTAACACAATACCCAGATATATATAAAAAGACACAATTTCTAAATACAAACCATACAATTTGATTTTTTTTATAATAGCAATAGTGAACTGATCAACGAATTCAGAGCACTGTCATTTTCCAAAATTCAAAGCAAAATCACTGATTGTGTGTTGAACTATGTTTGTATGCACAGCCCTACAGTATAGTAAAGTAACATCACTGATTATGTGTTGAACTATGTTTGTATGCACAGCCCTACAGTATAATAAAGTAACATCACTGATGATGTGTTGAACTATGTTTGTATGCACAGCCCTAAAGTATAATAAAGTAACATCACTGATTATGTGTTGAACTATGTTTGTATGCACAGCCCTAAAGTATAATAAAGTAACATCACTGATTATGTGTTGAACTATGTTTGTATGCACAGCCCTAAAGTATAATAAAGTAACATCACTGATTATGTGTTGAACTATGTTTGTATGCACAGCCCTAAAGTATAATAAAGTAACATCACTGATTATGTGTTGAACTATGTTTGTATGCACAGCCCTAAAGTATAATAAAGTAACGCAAAAAGACTCCATTGCAGCATTTACTCAAACTTGTTAACTGCTGAATAATTGCTGATATCAAATTATATGATTATTAACGTGTATAAGATCTATTCTAATATAACCAGGGTTATCATGCTCAAAATGATCAATATACATGTACAGCAAATGTATACTCTGATACTGGCTTCAAGCCATAAAACTAGAGTACCCGGGACAAGTTTCATTTGTAAAAATCACAAATAGTGGAATGTACATCTGTCTTAAAAGTTTATCTTCAAATATATGTACCTTTAAGGCAGTGTATGTATTTTTTTGGTGGTGTATTAGCATACTGATCATACTGTGTACATTGTATTTTTATATATTCATTTTAGTAAAATAGTGTGCCAAATTCATTGTATTCAGCAGTATAATTGTGTGTATTTTTATGTACAGATCATTTGATTCCCCATGTTTATTTTAATCATAAACAATTCTGATTAATATTGGTAAAACCTTTTCATGTTGTCTTGCCAACCGATTCAGACAACATTCTTCGAAAAAAAAGTGTGTACATAGATGGATCTGTTTAATTTGATTACAACTTATATGTACCAAAGTAACTCAAGATGAGGAATATAATTTTCTGTATTATGTTACTGAGAGCTGACAATTTTACAAGCACACCTACAGTTGAAAAACAATGGTTTGAACTTTATCAATTATTTCCTCATAATACATTAGAAAAGAATTCGATAAGTAATGGCTTTTTCAGTGTCGAAGCGTTAGCGCAGCAGACCCTGGGAGCCAGGCTGAACCGTTTCTGTTTCCGAGTCATCAAAAAATCCACGGAAACTGTCGATGTTTATCGAAGAGAGGCCACACAGTGATTCGAACTCCTGTGGTTATAATGCATACTATACTCAATATTTTAACAAAGCGCGACACGCGACAATGCGACAACGAGACATTTCATCAAAATGTCGCATTGTCGCATTGTCGCATTGTCGCGTGTCGCGTTTTAGTCAATACGTTATAATGCATACTATACTCAATATTTAAACAAAGCGCGACACGCGACAATGCGACAACGCGACATTTTTTTAAAGGGATAAGATACCCAGGGATCGAACTCGGAGCAATAATAAATGAATGTACATGTGGCCGTGAAGTCTGTGGGTTAAGAGTCCTTGGTTAATGGAATGGATGTATTCAAACTGGCCATTTCGTTTAAAATTATTATGATTTAGTAGATGTATGTTTGAAACGATACAAGTACATGTGTATCGCTGGGTAGAGTATCGTATGAGAAAATTATCGATATATTGTGAATCATGGCATGTCCAGGATTAATAATATAGGATTCATATAGAATTGAAAAACAGACATCACAACACATTATTGTAATGAAATACCTTTCCAATTTACCAAGCTCCCTAATCCCTAAGTGGAGTTGAGTTGAGCGCAGTTGAGTGGAGTGGAGCGGAGAGGAGTGAGTGAGGGAGGGAGGGAGGATTGGTTTCTGGCAGTCCAAGGGTACGCAACTCTGCAAAGCGATTTCATCGTTTTTAATATCATAATGATAACAGTCCATTTGTATGGCGTTTTCCCAAGAAGAATATCACGTTCAAAGCCGACCTAAACTGTCTTTGAGGTGCTGGATGGTTAAGTGATATTACCATCTCATTCTACCTAGTACCCATCCACTGCTGGCTGAACAAAGGCAGACCTCTGACACATTCATCAGCGTCGGACAGGACTGTACCAAGAAACTCTGTCAGGAGCCAAACTGTCGAACTTTGTGACCCATTCGAGGACTTCACCTGATGTTTCTGCCGATGTGGCTTGAATTTTAACAACATTTCAGGTTTTTCACAACCTGTCAGCTTGATATGGGTGAAATGTCCAAATTGATGAATGTGTAGGGTGCTGGGATTCGAACCTATGATCACAGTTATCTAGTGTGACTAAGAGACACAACCCTGCACAGCAAATTGGTCGCCTTGCACCTTGTGCCTTGATTACAATGAATAGTAGCACTAATAATTTGTGTTGCTGCTAAAACACACTTGATTAGCTAAACACATTTACAATATATAAAATAATAAAGGAACAATGAAAGAAATTTGCATTAAGTTCAAGAAATGCAGCCCCTATTGCCATTACCAGCACTACTTCTTTTTGAAAACCATTGGAGGTAACAAAAGACCAGTGAAGTCTGAAATAGAGTATAACATTTTCTGCGCATGCGTAGACTAATTGACTTTCTACACATGCGCACCGGTAATAGTAAAGGGCGACAACGCGACAATGCGACATATATTTTGTCGCATTGTCGCGTGTCGCGTTTTAGTCATATGTTATAATACATACTATACTCAATACTTTAACAAAGCGCGACAATGCGACAACGCGATATTTCATCAAAATGTCGCGTTGTCGCATTGTCGCGTGTCGCGTTTTAATCATTTTTAGGCTGTTTTTACACATCTTAGATAGGGCGACAATGCGACAACGTGACACATTTTGACCTTGAACATTGTCGCTATGTCGCCCTTTGGTGGAATAGAAAAAATATTTTTCAAAACGCGACATGCGACATCGCGACAATGCGACAAATGGGCGAAATGTCGCGTTGTCGCATTGTCTCGCTTTGGTTAATTTTGCCTCATTTTGATTGATTTTGAGAGGGCGACAACGCGACAATGCGACAACGCGACAATGTCCCTTCCAGGATTCCATAATATTGGGTGATAGATTGATTCTCACGCTTTGTGTCTGTTGATATTCAGTATGTTAAAACGCGTCGACCAACCTATGATTTACAAGCCTTTATCGACTTGTATTGATAAAGTTGATATCGAAAGAGATCCCAGTGAGAACCCCTATGTTTGAAATGTACATTTTCACTCTGACAGTTTCAACAACGGTTCCTTCAACGACCATGACAACTTCAACTGGTCCGACAACTACTGTGACTACTACGTCGATCGCGTCAACCTCGACCACATCATCCACAACATTCACAACATCGATGACTACAAAACCATCACCGACAACAAAGACAATCATGGCTACATCGACGACCATGTCGTCAGAATCGTCAGTGGAAAGTTCAACGTCAACGTTCACGTCAACTCAGTCAACAGTACAGACAGAGTTACCTCCCTCTGACAATAAAACAAAGGCACCAACGACGACCATGCCAATTAAAAGAGGTGAGTGAGGCTTGCCCCACAAACCAAGAATTTTAAAGATAGGCAATGTCAAATGGCGTGGCGCTCATTTCCAATCTAGAATCTGATCCTTATTGTAAATAACAACTTCTAAAATCTAAACACTTACCTGTTTACAGGAGACAAATCTGTATCGAATATTTTGCTGTCCCGAATCACAGTGTTGCCTCCTCACTTCGACTTCCCATAAACCCAAGTTTATTCGACAATACACATTACCCCATTAACATTGGTATATATTGGTACTTACCTTAAGGCATATTTATATATTATTTATATGAACCCATTTAAATTTCTTCACTCAGTAACACATGCATTATCATCAGGTTAAAATATTACGCAACATTCTTTGATATTTTATACGTTTTTCCTTGTCAAGCTCTCTTATAGAATTAGTATGAAGTTATAAACGTATTTAATGTGCTATCTGTTTATTTCATACAAATAGATATTAATCTACAGTAACAGTAATGTACAGGATTCCCCTATCAAATAGATTTTCTATGTAGGACCACCTGAAGTCGTCATATATGAAACAAGTCGTTATAGTAATAAATACATAGAGAATCTCACCCGAGTGTTTTGATATCAAATATATCAACACGAGTTGATAAAGTAACAAATATTCGAGGCTTGCCGAGGATATTTTACTTTATCAACGAGTGTTGATATATTTGATATCAGAAGACACGAGGGTGAGATTCTATTTATCATCAAAATCACTCCTCATTAGTTTTCAATGAAAACTGTACATCTCTGAACACTGGACTGCCATTAGATTTGAAGTGCAGCGATGTCATAGTATTGTGACGTCATCAAGTTCATGACGTCATAGCATTGTCAGGGCATTGTACAAAATCTACTGTCAAAATGATATCTCCTAGGAGATATCGTCTGATCTCACACTAGCGATATCTCCTGTGGAACACAGTTTTGGATGATAAAAACAATTACCGTCTGCAAAAATACTAGTGTTATATTCATGGGTCTACAGTCCCCGAAACACATTTACCATTATTTTAAAAAAAGAAACGCATAGGGGTTTGTATTTTTAAAAATCTATTTGTTACTTATTGTGTTCAAACAATAGTCAAAATATGTAACAAAAGTGTTGATAACATGATTTTACACAATTGTACAAGTAAAAAATCGACCTAACCTGAAAATGTTGATTTTGATGAGATTTCGTACAAGGATTAAAAAGGCATCGCCACAACGCAACAGAAATCACCTTCCAGTTGAAATTGTGCAGCAAAGAGCATGCACTGTCTAGATATAAATATCCAGATTAATTTCGGAAATCGGCATTCGTTTTGAAGGAGTTTCAAGGGCAAATCACTACGCCACGTCTTGACTCTGCGACACGGAACATCGCCATTGAAAGAATGCACGCTGGAGATTACAAATCGTCTGTTGCCAGGCGTCTGAATGTTAGTCTGAGCACGATATCACGGCTTACAACTCGTTACAACCAAACAGGTACAACAAATGACCGTCCCCATACAGGCAGACTTCGAGTCACCACTGCAGCCCAAGATCGGTACATCCGGGTACATTTGCGTGATCGTACTGCCACGGGTGAGAGCACAGCGGCCAGGGTACCTGGACTTTGGAGGATATCCGGTCAAACTGTACGGAACAGGTTGAGAGAGACTGGACTGAGCCAGGAGACCCGACGTCGGGCCCGTGCTACGTCGTCACCATCGCGATCAGCATCTCCCTTATCTAAAATTATCCACTTGGTTGTATAAACATTTCCTTCTTCTAAACCGATGTAAAAATTCATGCACTAGTCTATTCTAAATACAACATTTTCGCAACAGATTTCTGACCTATGCGTTTCTTTTTTGGATAGTATATTTTCTCTTATACATATGTAAATAGTACTAAACATCATTACAGTGCTATCTTGCAGCACTGTCAGAACTGTGATGGAAAGAACTAAAAGAATATAGCCGATCCACTGTAATGTCAGTCAGTGATTATGAGTCTGCATGTAAAATACGCGCCAGAGCTGTGGTGTGTTGTTGATGACATCTTCTTGATTCAAAGTCTTGACACAAAAACAACACTACCCACTGGAGAGACCACCAGTCGACCAGCGGGTGCCATACACTCTCCTACACAGAGTTCCATGCAGCCAGCATAGTACCTCTGACCAGGGATAATATTTAACCTTATATAGTCTCCCTGCTCTGCCACAGGCCAGAGAGAATTGATGATTCATCACATCTATATATTTCTTTAGTTTTTACGAGTCTCCACATCTGATTTGGTAGGAATCATATAGAAAGAACCATAAAACACTGGTCGAGATATTCCTCTAACAAGGATGTTTACTTCCAGGTTCTGAAATAACAGAATGATACAATGTAGCAGCTTATATTTAGCACTTATTATCATGAAACAACATTTGTGAATATCCCATTATATTGAAACTACAGCAATAAGTTCACAATACATGACACTGTCATGCAATGACTGCTCCTCAAGTTTCACGCAACTTTGAAAAAGTCTAGCAAAACTACAGATAGTAAATTCCATGAATTAACACTGAGCATGTTGACTTAATATTGATTCTAAAACTACAAACTGACTCTAAAATCCTGACATTATAACAGAAATCTGCCATATAGTTACAAAACACAATGTATCAGAGCGCACCATTACCACGAAAATAGGATACAGTTTTGCACGTGACCAAATAATTGAACATTCCTATAATTGCAAAAATACTCTGAAAATAGTATAATACACCGCCACAAACATGGATATATTATAAGAGTGACATTTGTACCTGAAGAGTGCATCTCGACCATCTCTGAAACTTCAATATATACTTGCTCTCAACAAACTCCTTTTGACCATCGCGGGTCACTCATGCTCTGCTCGCAGTAAACTTTCAACAGCCAGGGAGCATCTATTGTATCAAATGTCAACGACTTAAGCCACTACTACGATGTATCTACAGTCAGAGAACTTAACTACTGGTCAAATAAAGATATTATTCCAAACTAGTACACAAAATGCAAAATACTGCTGCACATTTCCTGACTAGAAACAATTCTGCAAAATATTATGATTACATCAGGGAAAACCAAACAAATTGTAGTCATGACCACACTAAATATACACTATTAGTCTCTAAAACCAAAACAGTTACAACATAATAAGACTGTCTGCATGGTATTCCATAATACCAATGTACATGATAAAATGACAAGCTCTTTTATACTGACACACAAATAAAACTAACCATAGCAGAATAATTCAGGTGCAACCTAGCCTTTAGACAACATGTAATATTATTCCAAACAATCCTCGGGGCAACAAAATGAGCATGATAACAAACTGGTCTTATGCTTCCAAGATAAGACAACATCTCTGCACAGAACGCTTGTATACCCCATTCTTGGTGCGAACTTTGACATTTCTGATGATTCCATCCTTACCCGGATACACATCAGTAATTCGAGCAAGGTCCCATTTACCTCTGGGTGCACCATAGTCAACAAGTAACACAATGTCTCCTTCTTGTAACTGTCGGCCTTTTACTTGCCACTTACTTCTCCCCATTAATGTCGGTAGGTATTCTCTCAGGAAACGCTTCCACACTTGCTGAACAAGCATTTGAACATATTCAAATCTCTTATGAAGGTTCCTAGTTTCCTGAAATGGACCCTGAGGGACCTCAGCTGAAGCTCTTCCAAGAAGAAAATGATTTGGGGTGAGAGGTTGAAGGTCATTTGGGTCACACCTTGAATAACCCAGTGGTCTGCTGTTGATCAAACATTTAACTTCTGCAAATGCTGTTGACATTTCATTCCAGGTAAGTACCTGATGTCCAATGGCAACTTTCAAGGCTTGCTTTACTTGTTTAATTAAACTCTCATACAGTCCTCCTTGATGTGGGCTTAAAGGAGTTATAAACTGCCACTTGACTCTATGAAGCACTGCAAAATCCTGGATTTGCTTTTTCCCTTCCTCAACCAATGCCCTGAGTCTCTCTCTGCCCCTACAAATGAGGTACCATTATCAGAGATAATTTTCTGTGGCCATCCATGATTTGCAGCAAAGCGCCGAAGAGCTTTGAGAAATGCTTGTGTTGACAGTCCATCAACAATTTCTAAGTGAATTGTTCTCACATTTGCACATGCAAATATTGAGCCCCAAGCCTTTGTTGTCTTGTTCCTTCCATATTTCAACAAAAATGGTCCAAACAGATCAACACCCGTTACAGTGAATGGAGGGGAAAATGGCATCAGTCTTTCTGGGGGGAGGTCTGACATCAAGGTTGTATGACCAGGTTGTCGAAGCTTTCGACAAATAACACAATTTCTCACTACAGCCTTTGCCAGACTCCTTCCTCGAACAATCCAGTATGTTCTCCGACATTCGCATAATGTCCTCTCTGGTCCTGCATGACCCATTTTCACATGTACATCTTGCATTATCAGTCTGCAAATGTGGTGACCTGCAGGTAACAATATAGGATGGATCTGATCATACTGCAAAGGGGAATGCCGCAATCTGCCTCCCACTCGGATGATACCATTCGCAACAAATGGAGCAAGGTCAATGAAATCCGTTTCCCAGTGAAGCATCCCTGCTTGTACATATTTCACCCAGAACAATTCAGCTGCAGCTACTTCATGACACTGTAGAGATATTTCACACTCAGTCTGCTGTGAGATCTTTCTTACTTTGTCTCGAAGTCTTTGGATGAATCGAAGACAGTAGGCTGTAACCCTCAAGAGACGCTGCCAGCTTGACACATTCTCTGCTTCAATGACTGGTAACACTGGGATACATGAAGCAACAAGTTTAGATTTCCTCATCTCTGAACTGTCTTTCACAACTACTTCATCTGTTGGTTGTATAGGCCATTGCTCAGTTGGCAGTTTCAGGAAAGATGGACCATGAACCCATCTTCCATTTATCTCCTCGACAGATATGCCACGACTCAAGTCATCAGCTGGGTTCAAGGCTGTTGGCACATACTTCCAGTGACTTGCATCCCAAACAGATTGAATCTCCGCAATACGAACACCTACAAAGGCCTTGAATGATATTGAATCAGAGTGTATCCAGTGGAGCACAATCCGAGAGTCAGTCCACAATGTTACATCTGATGGCTTCTCTTTAAATTCAATACAGATTGTCTTGGCAAGCCTTGTGGCAACCAAGGCAGCCATAAGTTCCAACCTTGGTATGGTTGTTTGATGCAGTGGAGCCACTCTCGCCTTGGCAAACACCAATTGTACTTCTGTACCTCTCACAGTTGGCCACAATAGGTATGCTGCCGCTCCATAGGCTCCCATACTTGCATCACCAAACACATGTAGCTCGGAAGAACCGACAGAGTCACATGGCTTCAGGCATCTTACAAATTCAACATGTTCAAGCCTTTTCATCTCTGCAAATAATCCTTGCCATAGTTCACACATCTCGTCAGGTAGGGGGTCATCCCAGTCCAAGGACTTGTGTCTCCAGACATCTTGCATTGCCATCTTGGCTTTTATAGTGACTGCTGCTGCCAGACCTAGGGGGTCATATAACATTGACATCTTTGACAGCACTATCCTCTTGGTATACTTCTCTGTGCTCAGATCTCTGACAACAAAGCTCATAGTATCCATCACAGGATTCCATCCTAAACCTAAGGTTTTGACCTCCTCACCATCAAGACTAATATCTGTTTCATTCAGCTTTCCTCGCTTCTCCAGTGCAAGCTGTTTGCGAACCTCCTCCAGTGAACAATACCATTCCTTTATCTGGAACTGTCCTGTGGCTAGGATTCTGTCAAGATCATGCATTCTCTTTAAAGCTTCATCAGAAGTTTCACAAGAATGTATTAAGTCATCCATGTATCTGTCTCTCTTCAACACATTTGATGCATCAGGATAATCTTCCTTATGTTGATCTGCCATAAGGAGGACAACATAACTCGCCATGTCAGGTGATGGTTTGTCACCAAATGTGACTCGGAGAAGTCTGTAGACAGTAGGGCATGTGGCTGTTTCCATGTCTCTCCAGAGGAATCTATGAACATGTGTATCACTATCTTTGAGTTTTATCTGTAAATACATCTTGGAAATGTCTCCAACTATGGCAACAGGTTCTTCACGAAACCTAAGAAGAACGCCAAGTAGGTTTCCTATCAACCCTGGACCTTTGTACAAGTAGGAGTTCAGTGACACACCTTGGTACTGACACGCTGGGTCAAACACCACACGAAGGGGTGTGCTTGGTTTATCAGGCCGGTAGACTCCGTGATGAGGAAGATAATACACTGGTCCCTGATCACAATGTGATTTACTCATATCAACTTTCTCAGCCCAGGCATTCTGTTCATATTCATGAATGGCGTCATTGTACATCTTCGCCTTTGCGTCGTCTTTCTGGAGACTGCGTTCCAGAGAACAGAGGCGCTTCTCGGCAAGAAAGTAGTTGTTTGGCAATGATGATGGATCCCTTTTCCATGGAAGACCAATCTCATATCTATCTCCCTGCTTGACACAAGATGCTTGCATCAATTCAAGTGCCTTACGATCTTCGGCTGACATAACTTCAGTTGGGCAGTCACAATTGGGAGCCTGAATCCCAAGGGTCTCAAAGTCATAAAACTTCTCAAGATTAACTTTGTCAATAAAGTTAACTGAACAGATGGATGATAGACGTTGTGTTTTGTCTGGTCCCATCGCATACCATCCTAGTTTCGTCCGCTTCCCAATTGGTTCAAATGGCAGTCCTTGGCGTACCTCTTCTTCCGCATGCAGGTGACTGTAGTGTACTCCCAATATCAGGTCAATCGGTCCAGCTTTGTGTGGGAAGTCAATATCCTGCAAGTGAGGAAATGAATGTAACCATGGCCTATCCAAGGGCTGCATACTCAAGACTGTCTTGTCAATCTCATAGGCATCTATCTGGAATTCTTCCCCGCTCTCTAGAGGTGAAACCCAAAACTTTACTCGTCGGCTATTGACATTTTCCAACCTTTCACATCCTACTAATGACAAATGAAGTCTCTCTTGTTTGCCTTGGAGTCCAAGAGCCTTTGCAAAATCCTTTCTTATGACTGTGGTCCCTGCACCACCATCCACTAAGACATTCCCTTCTCGTGTTCTGCCATTCTGTGCTTTGAACATTACTCTCACTACTGGCAATATGCTATCACAATCCAGAGGTGTCGTGACTGAGCTTGCTATTGGTGGATCCATGTGGAGCAGTTTATGGTGAGTCCTTTTGCAGCCATTTGTAGCACACTGTTTCCTTGACTTGCACTCTCTCTAGCTAAGTGTCCTCTCACCAGACAACTGAAACATAGTCTGAGATCTTTGACCTTCTGCACACGTTCTGATACAGATGAATCAACAAATGTGGGACACTCAGAAACTCGGTGTTCCTCTTCACACATGTAACACTTTGGTGTTCTCTTTATTTGCTGCTGTGAATATACACCCCTTTTCCTATCCCTAGGGTTTGGAAAATTTGGTTTCCAATCTGTCTTGCCCTTTTCAATGTCACCAAAATCAGGATCAAACTCAACTTTGACCCTTTTTCTCACAAAGTCACTAATATGAGTCACTGAAGGCACTTCACCCTTCTCTCTAAGATCTGTAGCAATAAATTTCCACTTCTCTATGAGGTGTGATGGCAGACGGGTCACAATCTTCCGTAGATTATCATTGGCATTCACATCTGCATAGTAATTTATGCGTTGGAGGGTTGCAATGCAGTTAATTAGGTCAAGTGAAAAGTCACGCAAGGCATCTCTATTATTTCCAGGAATCTTTGGCCCCTTTGTCAGCTTGTTAATATGTGCACGTGTAATAATGCTTGCCTGACCAAACTGATCTTGTAGAATCTTCAAAGCTGTGGCATACATTGTTCCACTTGAACCAAGTCCAGATATAGCCCTCTCTGCATCACCTGATACATGCATTCTCAGCTGCATCATCCTCATATCATCTGACAGATGAGGTTTATTATGAATATGAATTTTGAACTTCTCAATAAAGTTCACATACTCCAGAGGGTTTCCATCAAACTTCCCTAAGGTAACAGCTGGAATGTCTTTGCTGGCTTCCAACTTAAATAGAGCCTCAGCAATAGACATATTATTCAAATTTGAAGGCAACTCTGTCTCTGTAAACTCAACTAGACCTCCTATCCATGTATCAAATGGCTGGTTCTGTTGTAAAGGGCCTGGCTTCTCAACTGCCGATGACTGTTGTCCAGTATGTGAGCTTTTGCCACTAGACAAACTTGATGGGATATCATCTTTCTCACTGGTGTTAGATTGTGACTGATCCGGTGAATCTGTGGATGTGTCTGTAAGATTCTGTTGATTTGCCCCTGTGTCACCAGAATGACCATCAGCTGATGAATTCTGTTCAGCATTGCTCCCTGAACCCGATGGAGTAGAATGATGAGACTTATTAGCATGATTAGACTTTGTAGTCTTCTGTTTCTGTGATTTACTGTGTGATAGATCTTCCTCTCCATTTTCACTAAGTGAAAGTAAGTAATCTTCAGCCTCTTCCTCAAAGGTGTAGATGTCATTTATTAAATCAGCCTCCCACTGGTCTAACCTGGCAACCTGAGTTTCATCAACATAGGTATAGAGTTCTGCATGTATCTCACAGGCCTTAGTATAGTCTGTACGTAACTCCTCCAGTTCTTTCAACAGTCTTCGTCGACTCACATTCTCTTGAGCAATAGCTTCTTGCACTCTATGGATAGTTCTAGTTATTTTTCCTCGAATACTCTTTCTCTTATTCTTCACCAACTTGATTCTCCCTTCAATATCTTGGGTATGTAGATCATCACCCGTGCCAGTATCATCAGGTGATGGTGAACTCATGATTCTCTCTAGCTACCAAGCTGAACACTGTACTTTACTCTTCAGAAAATTGGTAGGAATCATATAGAAAGAACCATAAAACACTGGTCGAGATATTCCTCTAACAAGGATGTTTACTTCCAGGTTCTGAAATAACAGAATGATACAATGTAGCAGCTTATATTTAGCACTTATTATCATGAAACAACATTTGTGAATATCCCATTATATTGAAACTACAGCAATAAGTTCACAATACATGACACTGTCATGCAATGACTGCTCCCAAGTTTCACGCAACTTTGAAAAAGTCTAGCAAAACTACAGATAGTAAATTCCATGAATTAACACTGAGCATGTTGACTTAATATTGATTCTAAAACTACAAACTGACTCTAAAATCCTGACATTATAACAGAAATCTGCCATATAGTTACAAAACACAATGTATCAGAGCGCACCATTACCACGAAAATAGGATACAGTTTTGCACGTGACCAAATAATTGAACATTCCTATAATTGCAAAAATACTCTGAAAATAGTATAATACACCGCCACAAACATGGATATATTATAAGAGTGACATTTGTACCTGAAGAGTGCATCTCGACCATCTCTGAAACTTCAATATATACTTGCTCTCAACAAACTCCTTTTTGACCATCGCGGGTCACTCATGCGCTCGCTCGCAGTAAACTTTCAACAGCCAGGGAGCATCTATTGTATCAAATGTCAACGACTTAAGCCACTACTACGATGTATCTACAGTCAGAGAACTTAACTACTGGTCAAATAAAGATATTATTCCAAACTAGTACACAAAATGCAAAATACTGCTGCACATTTCCTGACTAGAAACAATTCTGCAAAATATTATGATTACATCAGGGAAAACCAAACAAATTGTAGTCATGACCACACTAAATATACACTATTAGTCTCTAAAACCAAAACAGTTACAACATAATAAGACTGTCTGCATGGTATTCCTTAATACCAATGTACATGATAAAAATGACAAGCTCTTTATACTGACACACAAATAAAACTAACCATAGCAGAATAATTCAGGTGCAACCTAGCCTTTAGACAACATGTAATATTATTCCAAACTGGATAAAATGGTTCAAACAACCTGCTTATGGCAACTGGACCAATGCTATACATCGAGAAACAATGTTTCAGCAAAACGAGTAATTAAATAGATTGGTTCAAACATACCACTTATGGCGGATGGACCAATGTCATACATCGATATACAAAGTTTCATTGAAAAGAGTAATTGAATAGAGTGGTATAACCAATGTCATACATCGATACATAAAGATTCATTGAAAAAGGGTAATAAATAGAGTGTTTAAGAAACATACTGCGTATGGCAACTGGACCATACATCGAGAAACCAGGTTTCATCGAAGAGGGTAATTGAATAGAGTGGTTAAAGAGACAAACTGCTTTACGGCAACTGGACCATACATCAATAAACAAAGTTTCATTGATAATAGTAATTGAATAAAGTTGTTCAAAACATACCCCTTATAGCAGATGGGCTCATGTCTTACAACGATAAACAAAGTTTCATCGAAAAGGGTAATTGAATAGAGTGGTTCAAAGAACCAAGTTATGGCAACTGGATCAATGTTGTGCATCGATAGAACGAAGTTTCATCGAAAAGAGTAGTTGAATATATTGGTCAAACAAACAACTTATGGCAACTGGACCAAAATGTAACAAATTTGTTTGTAATCGCAGTTAGAGTAAGCTATGGCTTTTGTTATGTTATAGTAATTTGTTAACTCCCTCTGGATCGAAGCAAAAGGAAAGTCTTCCTCGTTTAAGATAAACTTTGAAAATTGTGTTTTTTATTACAAGACAGATTACGTTTAAAGGGTCATTTCTTTTAGAAGGAAAGCCCAACAAAATTGTTTCTTTAGTAAACTGTATATTGATTTCCGCCTTGCTGTTTACCCAGTTTTGGACTTCAATCCAGATTGAGTTCACAATTTCACAATTACATAACACATGACAAATATCTTCTTTGAAATTATGACAAGTTGTACAGATAGGAGAGTTTTGGTATCCAATCTTAAACAAATATTTTCCAACTGGAAGGATTCGGTTAATAATTTTAGATTGAAACCACCGTAATTGAACACTATCAGTTGATCGAAACGGAATTTCATTAATATTCCTCCATTCCATATCTGTATATTGTTTTACTATTTGTTTCTCCCATTGTTGATTGGCTGAAGTCTTCTGGAACTTGGATCCTAATGACACATTATAGTAATATTTTGAGCCCTTTTGGTATTCAGGAGCAAACGAATATTAAATGGTAATAGTGGTGCTGTTAATGGTGTATTATCGTCATAATCAAGCTCGTTTAAATATTTATTCAAAGCCTTTTTACCCCGTGAAATGTTAAATAATTGGAGGAAATATTGTACTTATTTTTGAAATCTAGGTATGAAAAAGAGTTTGACCATCCTAATCTATCAAATCATTGATATATTTTACTCCGGCTTCCTCCCATTGTTTAATAAATATGCATTTTTTATCAATCTTAACATTATCATTATACCATATATACTGTGAGTATGCATCCTTTCGTGTTTTTTTATGCTTATTCAGGAATAGAGCCCAGGATGATAAAACATCTCGCCAGAAGGGGTTTCTTATGTTGTTAATGATATTATCTCTTATATAGATTGCATCCATTTCTAGAATATTACTCGGAATAGTATTTGATTCGTAAAGAAATACTTGATGTATTGTGTTCGAGAAGGTAAATCGTCTAAGACATGAAATCCTTTGAGAAGCAATTACATCCCTTACAAATGGAATATTGAACCCCCGTCCGGAATATTGCATATTACCCTGTTCCTTTTAATCTTATCGGGTTTTCGTTCCAAATAAATTGAAAGCAATTTGCTTGGAAATTTTGTATTACAGTTTCTGGTGGTGTAGGAACGGTAGAAAATAAGAGATTAAGTTTTGGTAACAATAAGGATTTTAACACTGTGTTACGTCCAAACGGCGTTAACGTTCTACATTTCTACATTTTCATTAAATTTTCAATTTCTTTAAATTTTTCGTTGTAATTAGCATCTACCATATTCTCAAGATCAATGTCAAATTTGATACCCAGTAACTTAAATGTTTCAGTACAGTCCATTTTACAGTTCTTCAATAGTTTCATTCGGCTACGTTTTTGGAACAAACATATTTGTTTTATCAATGTTAATTTTTAAACCAGAAAAACGTGCAAAAAGGTTAATGTATTCACGACTGCTTGCAAGCA